TGGAGAACCATAAACAGACTCATATTCTAATTAAATTTTAGTATATGTTTGAGTTAAAAAATGTATTTGTATTCTATCTGAAGAGCCTAGCACTTGGTCAAAGGTTTATGTACGTCCTTGTTAACCCAAGTGTGGTTCCTAAACCAGTAGCATAAGCATCACCTGAGAACTTGTTAGAAATGCAAAATATCAGACCCTATCCCAGACCTACTGAATTACCCAGGTATTTTTACAAGATGCCCAGGAGATTCACATGCATGTTAGTTTGAGAAGTGCTGGCTTAGGCCATACCCATATACTAGTGTACACAGAATATCCTCAAAGTTGTCACCTGGAGAAACCCAGAAAACATGAAGTACGCTTCTTCCAACTTTGGGAACAGAGAAAGATTGCACACTTTACTTTGGTTTTAATTGTAAAAATAGCTAAAACTTGATGGCTCCTATAACATCTTTAACAAGTTAGAAACTGCATGTGTTGAGAGGAAATCTTATTTTTATCTGGAACATCAAGGATCATCACTATGTATGTGGGAAAATGTTTGCTCTATAAGATTTTTATGTGATTCGGGAAGTTAAGGAGAAAAGACCAATAAAATTGCAAACTTCCAAGTAGATAATAAGTACCTCATATACATTTACCTATTTACATGTAAAAGCACATGGAAAATTTTTTTGCTATCATTATCAGTGGATTACTTATAATACATAGATGCTCCTCGACTTACATTAGGGTCACATCCTGATAAACCCATCACCAATTGAAAATATCCTAAGTCAAACATGCACTTAATACACCTAACTTCCCAAACATCATAGCTCGGCGTTATCTACTTTAAACGTTGTCAGAACACAAACTAAAAACTGCCGGTAGCATACTACACTGTAAAGTACCGGTTGTTTACCAACATGATCATGTGCCTGAGAGGGAGCCGTGGCTCACTGTTGCTGCCCACATCATGACAGTATCATACAGCCTACCGCCTACCATTAGCCCAGGAAAAGATCAAAATTCGAAGTTTCTACTGAATGTGTATTGCTTTTGCATCATGGATAGTTGAAAAATCCTAAGTTGAACCACTGTAAGTTAAGGACCTACTATATTTTGGTGCAGAACAGCAACACTGTCTTGCAAGTTAATTTGCTATAATTGATCAATGTCTTTAGTAAAATAAAAAAATTTTTTAAAAGATGCCTTTCTAAATTAAATAAATTAACTTTTGAAAACATACCATTTTCTTCCAAAAATATGATCCATTCACAATTTCTTGCCTGTTTCTTCTTGTTATTCATTTTTTATGATCTAAATTACAGAACATAATTAAAATGCCTGTGAGAAAGTTCTTAACAATCAAGTAAGTTCAACATTAAAGATAATTCTAAAATTTTCAGCCATTCCTTTGTCTTGTTAAGCATCTAGACATAAATGCTACCTAAAAAATTATATTTGAATATATAAATCCTTTATAAGTAAAGATGTTTCATTTAAGGGACTAGAAACTTTAGGTTGGTTTCCAAAAGGCCTCAGATACAAGACTAGATTAAAATGCAAACACCAGATTTAATCATCTTTTAAAAAGATAATGAGTGGCTTTCGTAGTCTGTAAGGAACTCAGGACTGGCTGAAATCATACTAACTTCTTAGTACACAAAGGAATGGCAAATGACCTTCCATTCTTCCAGTAATCTGTTAACACCATAAATTAACAAAATAAGGAGATACCTTTTTTTCCAGTTTGGTTCTATTATGGCATCACCCCAGAGAATCTAAAGTGTACGCTGTGAGGCGACGAGGCCCTCAGTAACTGTCAGACTTTGTTACCAGAGCCTTTCACTCTGTGGATCACATGTTGTCTGAATTCTCAAGTAGCCTACTTACTTGCCCTGACTTAAATTTGGCTAAAGTGTTCTGAACCTTATTGTGTACTTTCCTGATTAAAACTTTAATGGTTTTGCCAGCCGGTGTGCTCAGTGGTTGAGTGTCGACCTATGAACCAGGAGGTCATGGTTCAATTCCTGGTCAGGGCACATGCCTGGGTTGTGGGAGTGATCCCCAGTGTGGGGTGTGCAGGAGGCAGCTGATCAGTGAATTTTTCTCATCATTAATGTTTCTCTCCCTCCCTCTCTGAAACCAATAAAAATACATTTAAAACACACACACACACACACACACACACACACACACAAACTTTAATGGTTTTCACAATCCTTAGGATAAAATTTCCCCAATCCTTAGAGCTTATGAGAATCTTTATGATGAAGGCACTGCCTAGCACTCTAATCCAGTCTTCATTTACTCGGGATCTAGTGACACAGAATTCCTTGTGCTCACAATGAGCTGGCACTGCTGTTCCCTCTGCCTGAAAGACCTTCCTTTCCTTTCTCCCAATTTCTCCCATAGATTTCTCCAAGTTGGGAGTGGATACCCCTTTATGCTCCCACAATATATACATGTCCTCATAATACATCACACCACAAGTTTTTCTCCCCTGGAGGGCCAGGGATGTCTTCTCTGTTGTGTTCAGCACTGAGTGTGACATTCACTAAATGGCGCTGACTAGGCAAAGGAATGAGTAGACCACTAAAGTGCAGAGGGCGGGTTTGTTACAGTGACTGCAAGTTCAATGTGCGTAGGGTAGAAGAAATCTACCTTTCCCCTAATTCATTTAAAAGATTTTATGGAAAAAGTGGGCTAGCTCAGGGGCATTTAAATATGGTCAATAAAGTAATGTAGTGGTAATTAACTGAAAAGAGGTCATTCCATTCCTGCTAATAAATATTCGCAACAAAAAAGGAAGAAACAAAATTACGGAATCATATGATTGTGTACATGGGGGTCAAATTCAACATCTTCATTTTAGAGATGAAGAATTAAATGTCTAAAAGTATGGTCAGGGAGAGGGCTTAAATTTTACCTTGTCTTTTTTGTTACAGAGATGGCAGATTTTGGTAAGAATCAATAAGAAAAACTAAACTGGACTTGAACCCACCCACTGCTACTACCCCAGGCCCCCCTGAGAAACAAACGTTGCAGCCCGAAGTTGATCTAACACCCCCTAGAGTGGCATCAGGAGTCCTTTATACTTCCATTGTCCCCACTTTCGTTGACCCTAATGTCTCTTTAGGGCTTATTTTTCACTGCAGGTAGATAACAGTGGTAAAGAACTCGAGTTCTGGCATAAGTCTCAATAGTACCTACAATCCTAAATTTGTTGTGAAGATCAAATAAGATCATGCAAGGTAATGCACAATGTACTCAGCAAACAGGTGGCAAATACCTGCTCTCATTACTGCTACCCTGATTGGCAGAATCCAGACCTGGAAAAAGAAAGGTGTTTATTTATTCACCCCAGAGGTCGCTGAAGGACATCTTAAACAATCACACACTGACTCAGCTAGAAAATGAGCCCAAAATTTCGCTTAGAGCTGGTACAAATGTAATGATGCAAATTTCATCATCCTCTATATTTCCATGAGCTTCTTTTCTCAATTTACCAGTAAGTTAAAAAATATTTCTCCAAGAAAGGTCTCTCTGAGAAGGGGCCCCAATTTCTAAAGGGGTTAATGAGGAAAAAATAGTATTTAAGTTCTGGAAAACAAGGCAGAGTTGACAGGAGAAAGGCCTGGCTACGGGGAGAATTCCAGGAATCACAACTTGCATCTCTTATATAACTCAAGGGTCTTAGGAATTAAAAAATTCTCCTTGAGAAATATGGGAGGTGGTGTGAATGTGGAGATACTATATCCTATAGTGTATTTTACTTCCTACAACAAACATATTCATTGGAAATCATATTTCAATTTTTTATAAATTATTTTGATGCATTGTGGGACCTGTTTTCTGTTTTGTTTTTTAATATATTTTATTGATTTTTACAGAGAGGAAGGGAGAGGGATAGAGAGCCAGAAACATCAATGAGAGAGAAGCATCAATCAGTTGCCTCCTGCACACCCCCTACTGGGGATGTGCCCACAACCAAGGTACATGCCCTTGACTGGAATCGAACCTGGGACCCTTCAGTCCACAGGCCGACGCTCTATCCACTGAGCCAAACCGGTCAGGGCGGGGGCCTGTTTTTTGAAAGGACACATGGGGAATGAATAATCTTAACTTAAATATTCTGTTAAAAATGTAGATCTTGCCCTAGCTCGTTTGGCTCAGTGGATAGAGTGTTGGCCTGTGAACTGAGAGGTCCTGGTTCCATTCTGGTCAAGGGCACATGCCTGGGTTGTGGGCTCGATCCCCAGTGGGGGGTGTGCAGGAGGCAGTCAATCAGTGATTCTCTCTCATCATTGATGTTTCTATTTCTCCCTTTCACTTCCTCTCTAAAATCAATATATATTTTTAAAAATGCAGAACTTCCCATGCCATCTGACAAATTTTAACCCCAAAGCCCAATAACGTCCATATAAGAGAGGTAAATGGCAGAATTTTTAAAGTTATGTTTTGTCTTCCTCTTCATTTTCTCATGTTGTCCCACTTCCTGTCTCACCAGCCTTTGAGCAAGGACTGACAACTTGTCAGATATGCCAGCCGAGTCTGTAGGATCTCTCCCTGCATAGGGTTGAGCTGGTATCTTAGCTCAAACTGCCTTAACAAATACTATAGACTAGTGATGAAAACTACAGATATTCTGAGTCCTAGAGGCTAAAAGTTCAAGATCAAGGTACAGTATGGTTGGTTTCTGATGAAGGCGACCTTCTCTCCATAACCTCACACTGGGGGCGGGGTGCTGGGAGGGAGAAAGGAGAACAAGCCAACTCTCTGGCGGCTCTTCTTCTAAGGGTAATAATGCCACGGTGATGGCCCCACCCTCATGACTTCATCTAAACCTAATTACCTCTTCAAACACCATCACATGCGGGTTAGGACTTCCATATATTAACTTTGGAGACACAGTTCATTGAATATATTGGGTAGAAAATTCACCACCCAAGAATACTGTGTATTTTCAATTTTGTTGCTTACAACCAATTATTATAAAGGCTGGTTCTTCAAAATAAAATGAATAGTCTATATTAGTTTATTTAAGTTTTCTACAGTTTAAAAGTTTTCAATATACAAATAAGCCAGTAAATCTTCACTTAAAATAAGTGAACCAATGAACACTGTTCAGAGATAGTTCAAACACTGATTCATATTATTTATGACCAAATCAATTTCAACAGTAACTAATTTTCTTAAATATGTTTAATCATGTAGCTTCTGGAAGATGAGTTAAATGATGAAAAAATGGGCGACCATGAACACACCCTTTAATTTCATTTCCAAACTGGTGCTTCATTCTGTAGATGATGTCTTGGATGTCCTCCTTTGGTAAGTACATGGGTAATTGTCGAGATAGACGCACCGCTTCTCCCTGTGAAGAGAGCCATCAATTTTTACTGTGAGATACCGGAAGCAGAAATATGTTCTTCCTGGCAAGAAGGAAGACAGAAAACTGATTATATATTTTTTATTATTCATTTGTTCAACAATATTTATTAAACACCAATTATGTGCTAGTCATTTTTGTAGGTTATAGGAATACAGCAGAGAACAAGACAAACAAGATCCCGGCTCTTGTGAAATTTACATTCTAGTTCAAAGAAACAGAAAACAGAGAAAAGACAAAGAAAACTGCAGTAATATGTACAGAATTAAACTGAGCAACATGATAGAAAGTAATTGTGTGGTTAGGAAAAGCTTTCTTGAGGTGGGGTGACATTTAAACTTCAATTTAAACAAGGACCCAGGATGCAAGTATCATGGGTAAAAAAAAGCACTTAGGCAGAGGGAACAACAGAATCAAGTCACCCGTGTAAGTGCGGCCTCGTTACTAAAGGGGAGAGAGGAACAAGACAGGGAGGGAAGCAAGGGGCACATCACCCTTGAAGACGGGTGAGCAATGTGGGTTTTCATCTTAACGCACAGGGAAATAACCAGAGGGCTTTTAAGCAAGAGCCTGGCATTGCTTTTACAATTCACATCTGGCTCCTGTCTGAAGGAAGCATGGTTTGAGGCAATCTCTGCAGTCCTAGTGACTGTAGTGGACATGGAGGGAGGTGTAAAGGCTCCTGCCATGAGCTGGAGGTAGTCAAGACTCACTGAGGAACTGGTTACGAGGGTGCAGAATTGAGGACCATGCCCGCATTTTTGATATGGTAATGATGTGAAGACTGAGAGTTTGGGGATAAAATGGTATTAGTAAAGCTGGCTTCTTTTAAGATTAAAAAAAAAAAAATTGTACTTCGAAGATTTTAAATCCTAACCTTATTCTAACCACACAGCCTCTCCTATTATACTCCCAACCATCCTACTCCTTTATCCCAACTAAACCTATTCTTTGTCTTCACTTTGACCTTTAACCTCTACAATCCCTCCTTATTCTCCTGGTCCACTAGCAAGCACCCTTCTGTCATCTTCCTACATAAGGTATGCCTAGTGAGTAAGAAATAAAGGACACTGTGTCTAGCTTCCTGCATTCCCTTTAGACTCCAGCTAAAATCTAACGCCGATTCCCAGTAGAATGTCATTAATCTTTGTATCTGTCTCACACCTAAAATGGTTTCTTGTATTATAGCGTGCTCAAATTCCTTCACATACCCTCTTGTTCTTCTACCAGCCATGCTGCTCCTCTCCACGTCTGGATAAATTCTGCCAAGCACTGCTGGACAATGACAAGACTGGCTGGATCCAATACCAATGTTAGCTCTTATGAGGCCTCAATGCCACCTGAAAATCGTATTCTTCTCTAATCAACCTCCTCATAGAGGGCCGACAGCTCTTATTTTCTTACCTTTTCCACTATTTCCAGATCCCCAGTGCCTCTCCAGCCCCTTCACTCGCAGCAGATAACTCTCCTAGTCCTTTACCACATGAATCATACATGACTTCTCTCAATTTACCTCAAAATATTTTACATTCGCTTTCCCTCCCCTCTTCTGCTCCTGATTCAGAGGACGGTTTCTCCTTTCTAAAGTTTATATCATGCTGCATCTTCCTTCCTGCCTCTTTTGGAACATCTGCTCTCCTACCTTTCATAGTCAATGTTTTCTACCAATTCAGTGCAATCACGCTAACACCTCTTCTCTTCCTTTCACCACCTCTGGCTTGCTGCCCAGTTTCCACCATGACACACATCTTTCAGCCTATTTCCCCTGTGGCTCTCTTCAGGGCTATCACTTCCATTTAGCAGCCACACCTACTGGTCTTCAGCAACTACTACCCTATGAAGGTTGTGATATTAATATTTACATTTCTTTCTTCCCTTGAACCCTCCTCTTGGTTTTACTATAGTATCTTTATCCGTTTCACCTAATTCAACCTGACCATAAATGAAGCATTCCTGTGGTTGTGGTTCTGATAGGCGTTCTCTTTTATCCTAGACTATCTTCCTTTAAGAATCACACCTTAATATAATGGTAGGTATAATAACAGTAAAAATATTTGTATCTAATCCCAAATACTTCCATTATTTCTGAAATCTTATTTCTTCCCAAATGGTTCTTCAATGCACAATCATGACCCACAACTCCTTCACACACACACTCCTTTTCTATCCCTAGAAACTGGCCGTGTTGAATTGCCCGTGTGGGCTGGGAAATCCCACAAGACAAAGCTCCTGAAGGACTCAGAATGCTTTCATACAATCTTCAGAAAAGGTGAAAGTGGACTTCCCTGCTGAGGAAGCCTGGCCCTCAGAATGCAATGGGCAGACCAGGGTAATAGTCTAAAACAAAAACAGCTCCTTTTTTTTTTTTAAGGGAGAAAATAAACTTTACTAAAGATAAGGTTCACTTTAAAAATAATACCAGTCAACCTTGAGGGATAAAGGCTCAAATAGAGACAATTACTATTGTTTTCCCACCACTATTAAATTTGGACATTTAAAAGTTTATAATCTTCCTCCACCCTCTCTTACAACATATTTTTTTATTGTTGATAGTATTGTAGATGTCTCCCATTCCCCACCCTTACCCTCTATTACTTTTGAGTTTATTTTTTAAGCCCACTGCTGCCTATCTCTAGTTTTGTGCTAGAAAACTACAATTTCCATTTACTTAATAATCTACCTCTTTCATTTCCTTTCTCCTCTTTTGCTCTTGAAAATCACATTACAGTTCTTTTTACACAAGTATTTGGTATTTTGATGGAGCAATTTTGAATCCTTTCTAAAAAAACAAAAACAACAAAAAGAACTTCACTACAAAAAGTCTCGTGCATAAGGCTCTTCCTCAGTATGTACTCTAGGAATAACGTTATAGTAAGAATCCACAACAGTTTACCACAACCAGTTTATTTTAAAGGAGTTTTCTTTTTTTTTTTTAATAGTATTTCCCTCTTGCAAACAATAATAAACCTTATAGAAACTTTACTATTTTAAAACCATTTATTATTTTATTAAGGAACAGTTAAGTATCTTAAAACCTTAGCCAACATAACTGAATAATGCATACCTCTAAATAACTTATCACTTTGCGAGGTCTACATTCATAAACTTCTTTTGCATTTTTGTTGACTATAGCATTAAGAATTTCTTTTAAATCCATCACGCCATAGAACGGAAGACAGTTAGCCATTCCCTCTATTTCTAAGTAGTTTTCAGCAATGGAAACTCCTAGAAGAAAAAAAGAACACCAAAAAAATACCATATTTATCATTAGTTTGGTTGTGTTTAAATTATATTCCAGAAAATACCTATTAAAAACAAAACCACTGTTTGAGTATGTAGTGAACCTTCATAGAATGTAATATAGTCAGGACAAAGTTTTGTTCCTTAGTTGGGAGAACAAATAATAATTTCCCACAGGATTTCACATTCCCAGTAAGTCATATGTGTTTGTAGAAACCACATGAGCGTTATATCATTTAATCTCAATGACTGCTGTTCTGTTCCCTGCATTTGTTTAGAAGATTTCTTTCTTTAGAGAGAAAATGGAGTCCCATGATATTTATTAAAATAAATACTGCTCTAAGTGTTTTAACAACTGCTGCTGTTCAAGTTCAAGCCTACTGGTTTAATATCTAACTTAAAGACGTGGATTATTTCAATGATTATTTTAACTTACAAATTATAAAAATACAGCTGGAATTTTTTTCCAGCTTTACTGAAATATAACTGACATAACATTATATAAGTGTAAGGTATATAAAGTATTGATTTGATAAACATATGTTGCAAAATGGTTACCATCATAGTGAGTAGCTTATTAATATACTAGAGGCCCGATGCACAAAATTCATGCAAGAGTAGGCCTTCCTTCCTCTGGCTGTCAGCACCAGCTTCCCTCTGGTACCCAGGACCCGGGCTTACCCTCCGGTCGCCGGCGGTCACCTGGGACCTGGGCTTCCCTCGCAGCCCCGGCTTTGTCCAGAAGGACATCCAGTCTAATTAGCATATTATGCTTTTATTATTATAGATTAGTAATTTGAGGAAATGAAATGCTAATGTTTATTCAATATATTTTACTAGGACAATGTATAAACTGACATGTTATCTATTATTTAAGCTATTCTAAATAATTTAATGATTAAAATAAAACTAAAAACTAGCTATATCATTGAATATAAAACTAGGTAAAATATTCATAATAGCATATATTCATTCCAAAGCATCAAATTTTGCATTAGAATGCATGTTATAGTTTTGGAAAATAGCAGACTTGTTTTCTTTGGCTATATCTGTGTAACAGTATTCTTAACATTGAAGTCCATAGAATGTTACTTTGAAGTAAAGAAAATGCGACAGTCCAAAGTTGGAAAGTGGTATAAATGAGCTGTAAATGGATGGACAAAAACAAAAAAGAGGAGTGGTGTAGCTTGAAGAGTTTCAGACCCTGATATGGCGATGATCCTAGCCCTAGTCTGTTCTCAGTTAGACCAGGCCTTGACGTGGACGGCAGATGCAATGCAAGTGGCACACTAGGCAGAGCAGCACCCAAATGCTCTTCCTGGGAAACAACTGACAACTAGAATAAGCACATGTAAGATCAGCCAGTAAGTGATAAAATACGGACTTCAGTGAATGGAGACAAAATGAGAGTTTGAGCAACCAGGGGAACTTAAATGGGACTTGAATCAGGGGTTAGACAGGCAAAGAGGAGGTAGCAGAATATTCTAGTTCACATCTTCTTACATATATATCGATATGGAATTTACAAAAATATCAGTCAAGAGACTTGTTACTAATATGATTGGATTGAAAAGTCTAATGCCAACTATATTTGCTCTGAAAAACTACACATTTCAGAGAATGACTTATGGACATGGATAAAAAGCATTTGGCAACAGATGAGGAAACTGAGCAATATTTTAATCTCTGTGCTTGCAAAATTCAGATATAAAAAACTTAGATATCTGGAACCATGTAACTATAAACTTTCAAGACATTTCCATAAAATTCTGTGAAATGCTTCCCAATTTTCAGGGAAAATACTCCAAATTAATAAGTGGTTTGACAAGTTTTCACTTTCTAAAATATGGAATTCTTAATGATGCAGAACAAAAAACGATGCCATTAATAAGCAAAGTTTTTAGGGTCACATTCAGAATCTTTTCCCTCAAAGTCAGATGTATTCTTCCTATCTTTCACTGCCTGGATCCAAAGATGTTTTGTAAAAACTTGCAAATTGTTGATCCAAAGTTAAGTCCAATACAACAAAACTCTCACTAAAGAAAAAGAAATGGGCTTTAAGAAACATGGCATAAAAATTAATAAAGAAAAATAACCAAAAAATTAAGAAAGAAAACATGAAGGTTTTTAATTTGATCTGTTATTGACAAGATATGCTCATGATAATCTGTTAATTCCAAACAAATCAAGTCAGTTTGCAGATGACTGTCTTAGTAATTTTTACACCTTTGATGCCATGCAAAAAGTACTGGCATTCAGTCAGACTTAAAAAACACTATCTACAAGCTAAGAGCTGACAGCATCTGTCAGAAACTCACTGGGTAGCTCAAAAATAAACATGCTCTTGGAATAGATAGAGCAGTTACCCTAATTTAAAAAAAAATGGCTGTGATGACATCTTTCGAGAAAAAAATGGCACCAGCCACCAACACCAAAGAGTTAATTAGGAAATTAGATTAAGTCAAGAAAAAATATCTTGCTACACACACACACACCTTGTTTCACACTGCAAATAAATTAAAAATGTGCCAGGGTCCTGAAGATTTCTAGAAGGAGTAAAAGAAATGACTCCAAAGGACGGGAAGAAAAGAGAGTATTTGAACACCTATCAATCCATTGCTACACACTATGCTAACTGATCATGCAAGTACTTTGTTTAGTTACTCACTACTTCATGATGTAAATATCTCAATTTTAATAGGGAAGCAATATAACAAATTCATTAAGAGCCAGGCTCTAAAAGATAGATTACATGGGTTCAAATCCTGGTTCTACCTCTGCGAACCGCTAAGCAAACTTAACTTCTCTGTGCTTTGATGTTACCACCTATAAAATGGGGACAGCAATAGAGCCTACTTCATAGGGCTATTAGAATAATAAATTAATACATTTAATATTAAGAATATTCAATAATTACTAGTTGTTATTGATGAAGAAATATCTAGGCTAACTCACTTTCCCATAAACAGTGTTTAAATGGCAGAGTTGGAATTTAGACACTCTACTCCAAATCTAACTATCCAAGACGGAGGCAGTGAGTAGGTAAGAAGTTTAGGGTAGGTATCCTTAAAACTGAAAAAGCCAAGTAAAATTAAAGTTCAGAACACCAAAGTATTTTCAGCTTAAACCCAATTTCATGGTTTTGTACATTGTTTTCACTTATTTTCTTTTGAGATCTCAGTAAAACATTCCTTTAAAAATCGTCAACACTGTTTTGACTGAACTTGTTTTTCTACACTTTGGTCACAAGTTTAGGCGTGGGTGGAAGAAGGAACAGTATTATCACTCTTGGTGGTGCCTTTGTGAGCCCTGCTGCCAATTTAGGAAGCTAGGGCAGAAGGCGGTGAAGTCCGGAAACAATGAAAGAACAGAGAAAGGGCCAGCCAGGAAAAACTGAAGTCTCCAAGCCTGAAGGAGCCTTTTTTCCTCCCCACCAGTGAATTTCCATAGCAACGAGGAGTGCTATCACACAGCCTTAGTAAAGCCAGGGGATCCAATCAGCCACTCTCCAAATAGCAAGAGGGCTGGTGTTACACGTAACTGCAAAGAAAGCACCAGAATGATTTAAGAAAAAGCAGGAGGCCCGTTTTTGTTAGGTTACACCAGGGGCTACATATTTACCTGTTTTACCACCTGAATGAGCATTTAATAACTAGTTAGACAGAGCAGGAATTTGAATCCTGTGACAAAGAATGGCAAAAATTAGAACTACTTGATTAGTTATGGAAATGCAATTCAAGCCAACAGAATGAAAGAGATACCAAACCTGCTTATTTCAGACAGATGTGACATGTCTGAAATATGGCTGTTTTTACGTGACTGACGTACTTTTAGTGAGACAAAAATACACCATGATATCTCTAAATTATGAAACCCAAATGTGTCTCCTGGAACAAGATTTATTTTTCCAAGAGAGGAAATATTAAACCACATCATCATACCTGGTATCAATTTTATCTTGAAACCATTTGCTGTAAGACGAGGATCGGACAGGTAAGTTGATCCACTGTAGCTTTGGTCACCTGCTGTCATTTTATATAAAATCTCTAAATAATGAGATCCATTAAAAAGACTGAAAAAGAAATAATGGTCCTTTAATTTATTAAATATGTAAAATAAAATTTAAAATTTTATGGAAAATAGTTAATCTAAAGGCCTTTTAAAAAGTGTTATTAGCGCCGAAACCGGTTTGGCTCAGTGGATAGAGCGTCGGCCTGCGGACTGAAGGGTCCCGGGTTCGATTCCGGTCAGGGGCATGTACCTGGGTTGCGGGCACATCCCCAATGGGAGATGTGCAGGAGGCAGCTGATCGATGTTTCTCTCTCATCGATGTTTCTAACTCTATCTCTCTCCCTTCCTCTCTGTAGAAAATCAATAAAATATATTAAAAAAAAAAAGTGTTATTAGTAACCAAAATACAAAGGCATCAGCAACTCTGTAAGGAAGTTTACTTTTTTACATTTCTGTTAATATTTTATAGAAGACCTACCACATATAACGTACAGAAGGAGGAAGAATACATATAAAAGACAGTTCCTATCTTCTACGATGTTATAAATAAAATGTAAAATAAAAAAGTGTGCTCCCTCAATATAATACAAATGAAAACTATACCTATAAATGCCATTTATACCTTTAAACAGACACATAATATATTGCCAAGTTACTCAAGTGGTACAGCCTACATAATTTCCAATTGTTAGTCAATAATAAAAAGATAAGCATATATATCTTTCTCCCAGGAACTTATAAATTCAGTAATTCGGAGCCTGGGAGAGCTTCCTTCAGCCATGGCATGTTTGCTAGCGGTGGCGTATGAGTGGTATTGGCTTTAGGCAAAATTCTGAGGTAGCCAAAGATGCTCTAGGGCACAAATTAGCCTTTCCTGTTGGTTATAGGCTCAATCACAGTGCTCAAACATGTTATTACAATAAAGTGTCTGCTGGGGTTGACGTGTGAGAGGTTACCATTTTCCCATTCAGTCAATGAATACTTGAGTGCCTAGCAAGTGATAGATACTGTCTTAGGTGTGCAGGGCTCTGTTCTATGTTTCTGTATAAGATTTTAAGCTGCTATTTATTCATTACAGCCCTGAACCCTTGAAAAAGTAAATGAATAGATGATTTTTTGCTTATCATCTCTGAAAGGCAAAGGACCCCACTGGCTATGACAGATGTCACAGAGTGGAAAACTCTGGCTTCATATCAGACGTGCTCTCTCTGGTCTAACCAAGATTCAGAAAACCAATCTGAGAGCCAGAGATGGTGATGATATAGCACAGCAACAAATGGTGCAGGCTCTACAGTTACTGTCTAGATTGGACGCTTGGATCCAACTATTTATTTATTAGCCATGTGAGCCTGGGTAAGTTACTTAACAGTTCTATGTCTCAGTTTCCCCACCTATAAAATAAGGATGATAGTACCTCTCTCATCAGGTATGAAGATCATGAAAGCAAAGGGCGTAGTAAAGCTCTTTCATAAGTAAGTGCTCAGTAAACATTAGACATTGTTGAGAATAACCAATGGATGAAACATTACTCTGTTTTACAGCTCTCTAAATTGCTCCCTTCAGAGAGAAGCTACACTGCCCTCAGGAGAATTCTAGTGAGAAAACAGCCCAACCCCAAATGACCCTGTCCATAGCTCAGTTCTGAAAAACTTACATTATTAACTGTAATGGGGACGTCACATTTCAGAAAACTCCAGATACACCCTAGCTCTTTTTAAGGAAATAAAGAGAAAAGTATCAGATATTTGAACTGTTTTAATTCAGCTTAAGGCTGCATTCACTCTTTTTCTGATTCTTCTTTTGACAGTCCTAAGCCAATCTATACTATGAGAGATGCTGGATTTCAGTTAATGTGGTAATTGTAGCCTTAATTATAAAAGACAGTTTACAAATGTTCGGCCCCATTTCTTTTTCCTTCTGGTACAGGGCCTTTAACACAGAGGTTTTAATATATTTTATAAGTAATTTTTTATTTATTCTTAGAGGTCTGAAAGAATTATCTGCGGATGTGTCCTAGAGAACAAATTCTAATTATCTTTCCATTTCAGGTTTTTATCTCCTTTGATGTACCTGTGATTCTCTTCTACCTATGTCACACTAAAAAAGAAATATTAAGTATAAAAAAGGGAAATATTAATGTGATTAGTTATTCATTTTTACAGAAAATAATGTGCTCTATAGTATGTAAAAAAGAAACTCCCTGGTTTGGCTCAGTGGATGGAGCGTTGGTCTGAGGACTGAAGGGTCCCAATTTGATTTTGGTCAAGGGCACATGCCTGGGTTGCAGGATCAATCCCCAGTGGGGGGCGTGCATGAGGCAGCTGATCAATGATTCTCTTATCATTGATGTCTCTCTCTCTCTCTCCCCCCCTTCCTTTCTTGAAATCAATAAAAATATATTAAAAAAATAAAATAGAATCTGTAATAAAATTAGTTCCAAGAGAATAACCAATGGATGAAACATTAGATGGAAAGGTTGACAGGGAACTTAAGGTGGGAGATCAGGCTGTCACCTGCTGACCCAGGGATAAGTGCCTTTGATGGGACTGAATACAAAGCACATGGCACCGTCTATGAGGCCATCTCACCAGAAAGTGGAATCTAAATCCATTCCATCCTCCTGAGCTAACCCCCACTGAAACACGGGAGAGGGAAAAACAAGCTGACCACCATTGCATGGGAACAAAGAGACAAATCGAGACGAGACATTCCAATGAGCAAGTGCCGGTATTAATAAAAAGTTAATGGAGTGGTGTTCAGATAGAGTTGTGAGCACACCAAAATGTAACGGTTGGACGTTGACTAGATACAAATTAAAAATTTTAAAACTACAGGAAAGACATTTTGAGACAACAAGGAACAATTCCAAGGAATTATTATTGTGTAAGTTATGACAAAGGCACTGTGGTTAGCTAAGAAAATAGCCATTTTTGAGAGAGATATACTGAAAGACATATGGGTGGGAATTGTTCTAAAATACTTTAGCAAAGGAAAGAAAATATGCATATATATACATACACACACGCATACATGGGCAGAGTAAATGTGGCAAAATCTTGAAAATTGTTGATAAAGGTATTCATTGTACAGATCTATTTTGGTATATCCTTTAAATGTTTAAGAGCACACACCAAAGAATTATTATGGCAACTTCACTTCAAAATTACCCTAGGGAAGTCACTAATGTACAGGTGGAGAATTAAGCTTCATATTTATTAATTGCAGAACTACGTAGAATATTTTAAAATTATTTACTTAAAAACAATTACTTCCACTGAAGATCAGAAATGAAGTTTTTATAAGATTTCTTTAAATAAACACTTTTCCCTATTAGGAAACACTTTCAACTTTTTACCTCCAATTTCTAATCTAGTATGGATTAATAAATGTTTTTAGAGTAAGAAATGTATTACTTCACCATACCTCTCTGTTAATATAATTGGTTTTTCCAATGGCTCTGCAGGAAGTTTATGATTCTCAAGAAGTCTTTTAAAGAGCAGGGCTTCTTCCACTCTATATGGATTTAGCAACATTACCTCTGTTTTGGATGTAACTAGCCATCCATCAGGAAACTTGAGATTGTGGATTAAGCAAAGTTCGTCCTTCTCTTCTGGTTCAAATTTCTTGTGTTTCTCTACATTTTTTTTAAAGTTTTCCATAGAAAAGTGAATTTGAACTATTTTAATGGTTTGACTCTTTTTTTTTTCAACTTGGGACTGGAAAAGCTCATCCAGTTTTGGCTGATTAGATAATGATGTTTTCAACTTGTGCTTCTGTGCCAAACTCCACGAGCTTGTGGGTTTTATCTTTTTTCTGCCATCTTGTAGTGAGGCTTGTGACTCCTGTTCAATGGCTCTCTTGATTTGCCTATTGTATCGTTCCAAGTCTTTAGTAGCCCTCTCTTCATATCTATGAATAGATAAAGAGAACTAATGAGTTCGTAATCAGAAATACATTAACCATCCGAAATAAATTTTATAAAAAAAGAGTGGCCCGATGCACGAATTTGTGCACATTGGAAGGCAATTAGAGTATTTTAATATCACTATTCGCCCTTTCTCTATAATAGAAGTGTCAACCAAATTCACCATCGACAATGACAGATCGAAACACATGCATGCGATTGAGGCCAGCAAGAGCTTTATATGTAACGCACATGCGCGAGTCAACTTAGCCTTTTATACATAGAGAATAAACTTGCTTAATTAGGCCTGCTTCCCGATGTAGCTAAACTTTTTCCAGCCCAGTGAAGCACCCCAACTTCTCTTTCAGGTAATTCTCAGCAACACAGCAGTAAATATCAATACAAAGCAGATTATTGTTGTAGATCACACAGGGAGAACAAAGGGTATAATATTTAACAGTAGCCGTGTTTGACTATATTCTGTGCAGTGAGAAAACCTGAAGTCATTTTCAAGGTCCACCATTTCTTACTTCTTTTCAGTCAGGTCAAGTTTCTAAGCTTTCTAAATCTCCGTTTTCCAGCTAATGAAAAAAAAAAAAATAGGATTCCACCGAGTCTCCTATCTACCTACTCCAGGACTTCTGTGAAGATCATGAGATGAGGCACGGACATTTGGTTAAAGTATAAAAGGTTTCCACCTGGTTATAAAGCAAGTCGTGTTCATAGGCTGAAGAAAACTGCAAGGAAGCTAGTTGCTAGGGAGAGGCAGCCCGGCGTTGCTACGTGATGTCATTACCTGGCACTCACAGTCACCGTTTCCAGGCTGGGCTAGGCTGTGGGCCGCATTTTGCACCATGGAACCTTGGCAGTGTTGGCTGCGATTTGGTGGGGTGTCACTCCAGGGTGGTGGCGGGGCCTGTGTCCCACTTGGGGGAAGCCAAGTGTTGCTTCGTGGGTGCCAGGTCCAAAGTGCCGTTTCTCTGTAAATGGCCAGTGCGCGTCATAGCAGCTCCTGCGTTGAGTATCTGCCCCTGGTGGTCAGTGCGGGTCATAGCGACTGGTTGGACACATAGCATTTTATATGTATAGACAAAGCTGGCATTCCAGGCCTGGTAATTGTGAAGGAACTATATTGGGCTATCCCTCCCATATATAAACAAAATAGATACCACCCATTTAACATAGGTACTGAAGAGCAGGAAAAGCAGGCAGAAACTGTAATGGGTTCAACCCTTGAATAAACAGAACCACATTTATACAGCCTTTACCCAGAGAGCAGTTCCCAGCATTAACAGGAGTAGGAGTGGCAAGAACTCCCATCAGAAAGCTGCACTGCCATTAGCTTGAGTCAACCGAACACAGAGCTAGCTCCTTGATTCCAAAACAACTGAACACTGAGGGAGAAAACCCCATGTGTGGGAACCCAGAGGGTAACAATCACCAGAAGGCTAAATGCGCCAACCAGGAACTTCAGTGGCTACTTGCTGCAATTAGAGAGAGAGAGAGAGAGAGAGAGAGAGAGAGAGAGTGAGTTTTTGGAGTCTGAATTCCACAGAATTAGATGGCATAGTAAACACTTTGGGCTTTCAGTTAAAACTGAAGGAAGACCACATTTTAGAGGTAATAAAAAACAACTGTCCTGTAACTGTGGAAGCTGCCCTAGGACTAAAGGCAAAATTTAGTCTCCCTACTGAAGTGTAAACAAAGCTTCCATAAGCTCAAGGTTGTCTGTCAATAATTTAAATGCCTGGCAGAACAAAAAACAACACTTTTCAGAAGAAAACAATCCAGATTTTCTACAACATATGAGCCATAATGTCCATTATATAATCAGAAGCTATCACTCAACCAATAAAAAACAGGAAAACATGATTCATGGTCAAGAAAAGAAGTGATCAGTAGAAACCAACCTCAAGATGACTCAGATGTTGGAATTTGCCAAATAAATAAAAACAGGTTTTTATAAGTATTTAAGGTCTTAAAGGAAAAGATTATCATAATGAGAGAATAGAAGGGGGTAACTCAACAGAGAAGGAAAATTATCAAAAGGATAAAATGGAAATGGAAATTCTAAAACTAAGAAACACAGTATCTAAAACAAAAATTTTACTGGGAGGTTTAACAGCAGGTCAGAGATGGCAAGGACAGGGTCAGTAAAACAGAATACAGCTCAATAGAAATTATCCAATCTGAACAACAGAGAGAAAAGTGATTGAAGATTGAAAAACACCTTAGTGACTTATGGCATAAACAGCAACCCAAAATGTAAGTTACATATAAACAATAAAAGTGAGGGGTGGAAAACATTTGAAGAAATGAAATTATGGCTGACACAACCAATCTGGAGACACACATTTTACATATCCAAGGTCAGTAAACCCCAAGCAGGATAAATCCAAAGAAATCCACAGCTAAGTATATTAGAATCCTAACTGCTGAAAACCAAAATAAAGATAAAGCAGTCAAAGGAGAAAAAAGGTATTACATAATTGCTAAAAAGGAAAGGTAATAATAATATTCTGAAAGGAGTTAGATAAAAAACAAACAGAGACATTACAGAACAAACAAACACCACCATAAAAATAGACACTTTCAGAAAAAATGTTGAGAATCTATTTTCAGCATCATTGTACTATTGAGGAATGACACCAAATGGATATTCAGAAATAATGAACAGCAGAAATGGTAACTGTGTAGGTAAATAGAAAAAAAATCTTTAAAAAATTATTTCTGAAAGATAACTTTAAATTTAAAAATATAGTATTTTAAAGTGAGGTTTATGTTGTATGTAAATATAAAATACATGACACCAACTGCAGAAAGGACAAAAGTGGTAAATGGAATTATACTTGCCTAGTTTTTATACCGGGTGAGGCAAAAGTAGGTTTACAGTTGTTCATATGGAAAATAGTAATAGTAATACAAGAATAAACTCTCACATACTCACAACTATAAACCTACTTTTGACCCACTCTGTATTTGTGTGAAATTATATTCTACAAACTCTTACGTGATAAATTAAGGATGTATAAAATATTCCCCAAAGCAAAAACTAATGCAAAATTAATAAAGGAATTAAAGTTAACTATTAAATTATATTCCTTTAACCTGAACAAGGCTGTTTCCCCAAAAAAGGAGAAATAGAGGAACAAAACTGGTGAGATGCACAAAATAAGAAAATGGTAGACCTAAACTCAACCCTGTCAGTCATTACATTACATGGACTGAATATTCCAATTAAAAGGCAGGTTGTAAGGCTGAATTTAAAAAGCAAAATAAATAAATAAATAAAAAATAATATATGTCTACAAGAGTTACACTTTAAATATACAGACACAGACTGTTCAAAAATAAAATACTTATGTATTTACTCTAGTATACTTTTTATTGTTATTTTAGAGTATATGCCTACTTATTTAAAAAAGTTTGCTGTAAAACGGTATGCTGGCAGCAGCCTCATATATCTTGTGTTTATTAAATCTCTTGCATCATTTTCTTTTGTGCCGGATTTAATCTCATGCTTTACACATTAGTGTAGTCTAAATGAACAGCGTTGTAAAATCTACAATAGTGTACAGTAATGTCTTAGGCCTTCACAGTCACTCATCACTTACTGACGGACTTATTCAGAGCTCCACTCCTGGTAAGTGCCCTATATAAGCATACTATTTTAATCTTTTACGCCATATGTACTGTGTCTTTTCTACATATCCCCATCTTTAGGCAGTGCATGACTATATATTTTACAATTGAATATAATCTATTAAAAATAAACTATACAGATACACTCAACAAATATGATGAAAATCACTAAAATATTTTATTGAGGGGATGATGCTAGGTATAAACGTACATATGATTTTATATATATATATATATATATATATATATATATATATAGATGTATGTAAAAACTGGAAAAAGCAAGCTAGTGTGATGGAAATCAAAACAGGGCTGTGTATGGAGATTGGCTGGTTCAAGTGGCATAAAGGGACTTTCTAGGGCAGCCGTGGGCAAACTACGGCCCGCGGGCCGAATGAATAAAACTAAAAAAAAAAAGACCGTACCCTTTTATGTAATGATGTTTACTTTGAATTTATATTAGTTCACACAAACACTCCATCCATGCTTTTGTTCCGGCCCTCCGGTCCAGTTTAAGAACCCATTGTGGCCCTCAAGTCAAAAAGTCTGCCCACCCCTGTTCTAGGGTGATGGAAATGTTCTACATTTTGGGGTGGTGACCATGGGTCTACACATATGAAATGCAATGAGCTAGATATATGGTTAAGCTCTATGCATTTCACAGCCACTATATTTTACCCAATTTAAAAATCCATGTAAGAAAGCACTGCAGGCACAGGCACTGAAAAAACAACAAAAAGACAAAATAGTCAATCCCAGCTCCAAAGAGTTCCTTATACTTTTGCTATCACATCAACACGGAATAAGCAATTCCCTGAGCACTGCAAAAGAAAATTTACAAACGTTAATATTCCATTTACTAAATAGATACTAGTAAAGTTAAATTCAATACAACAACAAGCAAAATTACAATGATTAAAATTATAATGGTTTCATAGCTAAACATTTATTTTTTCAGTTACTACTTATTTCTCATTTTAGAGTCATCAATGAAAAAAGGTACGAAATAATGAACATTTTAAAATTTTACTGGGTTCTAGCATAATTGTTAGATCAACCCTTTTCTAAAAAATCGAAGTTTCTATTTCTCCAGGCCTAGGCTGAGGGCAGGCAGCACTGTTTTTTAAAGAGTTCTATGGGTGATCCTAATGCATATCCAGAATTGAAAATGACTATGATTATGGTCAGCAAAGTGTAGCAGCAAAGAGCGCAGACCACCGAGACAGACTGCCTGGTTTGGCTCTGCCACTTAGTAGCTCCGTAAATCTCGGCAAGTGATTTAATTTTCCTGTGTCTCGGCATGGATAATCTACAGCTCCTTCACAGTACAGTACTACCTGGCACATTGCAAATGGTGATGTTTGATACTATTATTTTCTATCAAGAAACATAATGAAAAGGGAACACAATTTGACTAATGGTTAATAATTATTTAAGCAACCTTACTAATTTCTTTTTTAAATTCAGTTTTAAATTTGAGTCTAGAAAATGTTATCTCTTGTTTTAAGAAATGTAAGAAACGGGCTGAATTCCACTGTAGGTAATATGCATAAAACATTTTTAAGAAATATGAATAGATCCGTGTCAGAAAATAAAAATGCTATTAGTTGGAGAGCTGTATTAAATGTTCAAGTGAAATTAAGAGACAGGAGACCGTAGTGTGCTGTTTCGTTGGCACTTAGTACTTGTTTGTTAAATAAAGAAATGCTATCTGGATGAGAATGTAAAAAGACCTTGTTTCTCTGTAAACTAGGCAAAAAATGCCTCTTTTGGTTAGTCACCATGTCATATTCATAATTTTTTACGTTATTTTCTCTCATTTCTACTTAGAATCCGAACTTGTGGATTAGCTATATAAAACACACGATTAATTTACTTTCAATTTACTACAATTAAGTATTTTTAGCTCCTGGACATTCAAATTCAAGATTTCCTGTACGGTGGAAATGAGTTCAAGATGAAGGTCACCATTTGTAATTAATTATAAAGTGCAAATTTTCACATATGGTACTAATCTTTTGATTTACTCAAGAAGTCAATTTCTTGAGTTTCTTGGGAAATATAAAAAGTTATGTCCAAAGGAATATTAAGTGAATGTTAAGTAAAAACATCTGCTACTTTTGACTTAACGTCATTAAGGGATTATTAACTAGAATGGAAAAATTATAATTCTGATTTGACCAGTAATCAATTAAAGTGATGTTTTAGTGACTAAAGATTACATGTAGTTACAAAGTTTATTTACCATTTTCAATAATGTCCCAATTACAATTTATTCTTAGCTATTTTAAGTAGAACTATGTTCCTACTGACTGCAAGTAAAAGTTCCAGTTAACATCAATTGACTGAGAGCCCAGTGGCAGGTCACATGCCAAAATCTGGTTTCTAATCCACTGAAGGAGAGGCAATCATGGGGGTGGGGAGGGACACGAGAACCAGAAAGGAAGAACTGAAAGATGGAAGTACTCCTGCTCCAGTCTGTCCTAAGTTCTCAGCAGAAATCCCTGATTCTAGTTTTTTCTCAAGCTCTGTTATGGCTTACAGAGCCCCTTCATGATCTGGCCTGCCTTTCTCCATCTTTCTTTATCACACTCCCATCAATTCAACTCCTATCAGAGAGGGCACCCTTCAGTTCCCAAAGAACATCATTTTGCTTCTAGTTTCTGTACCTTCTTACATGCTGTTCCTTCTCTCTAGAAAACTCCCTACACCTTTCTGATTAATTTCTATTCAGGGAAGTGTTTCCTGTCCCACAGATGAGAGTAAGACCAACTGCTAAGTGTTTTCATAATTCCCTATATTTTTTAAATTGGGGGGGGGGGGAGGTCAATGGGGGAAAAAAGGGGACATCTGTAATACTTTAAACAGTAAAGATTTAAGAAACTCATCATATTCTATGATTATTACTGTAAAACTGTCTTCCTCCCTAGGCTACACCATTTAGAAGTAGAAAATGTTTACTTATGACTGTATTTGAAGTGACTAGCTATGGTACATAGGGCCTGGTACACTGAATGCCCTCAACATATATTCCCTCATTTAAGGAAGGACAGAGGGAAGGGAAGGTGGGAGGGAAAGGCCAAGAGCGGGTCAGCCAGAGCAAAAGCAAAATTTTCTAACAAAAAAGTGATGCCAAAAAAGGTACTCTAGCCAAGTCAAAAGGCATTTTCCACAAGTAAGAAGTTAAAAATTTTTTTTGTAACCCAGTGGATGGAAATATTTGAACATTCAGGTCACATGCAAGCTCTGGAAACTTACTTCAGCTTTTCCTCTTCACTCAATGTCTTCCACAGTTCTTCCATCTGTATCGTTGCAGCCTCCAAACTGGTCTGAGGATTTTCTGTGAGAAACTGAACACGATGATCGTGAACAAAAAGGGCGCTTGCTGACATGGGTTTCTTGATGGCGCGACGGCTGATTAAATCGTAAGCGGTCAGCTGTCCTGACTTGTGATCCACCACGTTTGACTTTTTGTTCCAGGACCCGTCACTGGGATTCCCCTGGTCAGGGCTTGGGGGGCTCCTCTCACTTCCTTCACGTGCTGACCTTCCCGGAGGCACTAGGATCTGCACAGGCTCGATGTTTTCTCCCGTCGCATTTTTGAGTGCATTTCCCCTGCTCCAGTCATCGGCACAAATTTCCACAGGCTTCTCAGGAACTGCTGCTTTCTCACTTCCCGCCCTCTCATCCATACGGCCTTGACTGCCATTTTCTGATTGGGCGTGCGTCACAGACCCTACAAAACAAGTTTCAGTATATTCCTTCTGGGTGTCCTCACTTGATAAATTATCCACTGGGATCTCCAGAAATGTATTTTTAGTGTTATCCATGTTAGAATTTTCACTAATAAAATGGTCGTCATAATGGTCATGAACGTGAATATGATTTAAACAACCGTTAACGTTTTCTCCGGATTCATCAGCATGCACATCATTTTGAAAAGAAATGCTCGAAGTATCAACATTTGGATAATTACTTCCAGATGATTCCGTCTTATTAAAAAGCACATCTGTTTCTGCTTTTTTACTAACAGCCATGTCAGCTGAGGAAACATCTGTTTTACTATTTTCATAAGAATTTGTACTAGGTAGTGATCCGTAACAAGTCATCATCAGATTTTCAAGAGCAATTAAAACAGATTCCTACAAATACAAATTAACAAATGTTAGGAGAAATTATAGAAAAATTAAATAGACAAGATTTAAAATAATAGTTAAAAAATAGGTACAAACAAGCAAATCTCCTTTGTCACACAAAAATGGTTAAGATAGTATAAGTTTGTAAATAACATAAATTCAAAAATTTATCTAAAAAAGTTTACCTTGTTCTGTAACAATACTTGACTTTTATCCGGTGTTAAATTTACATCCACGTTAGCTGTAGGAACATCAATTTTCAGAAAGAAAATGGGATACAAACGAGTAGATTCCTTTAGGCACTTCAGATTGTAATAACGCCGGATTAACTAGAAATATATATAATGAATAAAAGACAAAAAAAACAATATAAATAAATATTGCCATCCATAAAATACCACCAAAAGAAGAATATTCAACTGAGTGGATGTAACTGCTTATCAGAAAAATCAGTATCTAAATAGTAGCATTCATTTAGAGGCCTTGAACCTATGGGAATGAAGTACAAGCATTCATTAAGCAGTACAAACATCCAAGGCAACTGGCTTCATAGTTAAAGATCATCAACCTACGAACCAGGGGGTCACAGTTCAATTCCCAGTCAAGGCACATGCCCAGGTGGCAGGCTCCATCCCTAGTGTGATGTGTGCAGGAAGCAGCCGGTCAACGATTCTCTCTCATCATTGATGTTTCTATCTCTCTCTCCCTCTCCCTCCCTCTCTGAAATCAGCTAAAAAAAATAGTAATTATATATATATATATATTTATAGATAGATAGATAGATATGTGTGTGTGTGTGTGTGTGTGTGTATCTCCACAGTGTCAAAGTCCAGAGTTCAAATCCAAACTCTGTTACTTCCTGGCTATGAAACCAAAAAAAGTAACTAACATTTCAATTTTTTTTTCATCAAAAATAAAAAGAAAATAATATATCACATAGTTGTAAAGGCTCAATCAGACATCATATGTAAGGTACCTAGGAAAGTATTTAATAAATATTATTGTATATCTTTCTCCTTTTCCTTATCCTATATAATAAAACCCTATATGCAAATCGAGTGAACAGCGGAACGTCCAGTTGCTATGATGTGCACTGACCACCAGGGGGCAGACGCTCAACATGGTAATGGGGGGGGTGGGGCCAGCCAGCCAGCAGGCAGCGCCAGGCCACTAGCCAAGGCAGGTGCTGGGGGTGGGGGTGGGGGGTGGTGAGGGGGGGGGAGACCCGACTGCCCCACCCACTGGTTGCCTCACAGATTGGCCCTGATCACCAGCCAGGCCTAGGGACTCTACCCTATATATTGGGAACTGTCTCTCAGATTTAAAAATTAAAACCTGGCAAAGGCTACTCTAACACTGAAAAAACAGGATGATGCAACAATGACATGCATGGACTCTGGCTTGCACATTTTGTGGTCAGCTCTGATTCTGTCACTTATAACTGTGTGACAAAGCCAATTACTTAATTTCTCTCTGCTTCAGTTTTTCCACCCATAAGATGGGGAAAATGGTACTACTGCCTCAGAAGGATCATGTTATGTATACTTTTTATAGTCAGGACAAAAAAATGTAGCTGCCCATACAACAGCAAGATGCCTTTCACCTGTGTGAAAAGTACGGTCACTGGTGCATGCAGCGTCCTGGATTGGGAGAGGGATGTCTGACTGCTGGTTTAGGCTCGACATCCCCCGCCTCCCGTATATGAATTTAGTGCCCTGGGCCTCTAGTTTCAGAATAAAGTATTAGCAGTAACCCTTGTAACAAGTTGACAAATTACAGAGCTAGTTTTCGTTTCTGATAGAAGCAATGCTTTTTTTCTTAAACAGATTACCTTTAATATGTCTTTTTGGTGTATTGGTCGACTGTTTATAAAGATGAAACTCCTTTCTGGGGTTGAAAGACTTGTGGAAGAGTGGTCTGCATCATGCTTTGGAAGAAATCCACTTAGATAAATCTATAATTGTAATTATAGAATTAATATGCAATGTAACAATAAGTGTGGTTCCATAGGTCTGGCTACATACTATACATTACAAGTTATCAAAACATACATACATTTTCATCTTATGGTCTGGTAACCCTGTCTTGAGCATTAACTTTAAATAAAATATTGGAAGCATGTTAAATTGGTGTTCTCTGCCTCTAACTCGTTCTGCAATTCTATGTTAAGGAAAAATTGGCATTCATAAAAGCTTCATGAATGGGCATATATTTTACTGCCACAGACATAAATACTGCTCTCTCTGCTCAACTTTAAATTCTCCTTTTCCTTATCCTATCTAATAAAACACTAATACACAAATTTAAAATTTTCTTTCCCCATATTGTGACTTTCCTCTGGCTGTTTGTCCTTTTCTTTCAGCCACCTTTTCCTATAAAGTAGTAGCTGTTTCTATATTTATTCAGAGTATGCTATAAAGCCAATCTGACTGGGTTTTATTTCTGAGTTAAAAATCTCTTGCTCTTTGGATTCCAAGATGGCTGCAGAATTCATGGAAGCTACACCAACCTGCTACCGGCCCAAACTGGATTTATAGCTAAATTATAAAGCAATCAACCAGAATAACCAACTGAAGGCTAGCTAAACTGAAATATAATAACCAAGAATTTACAGAAGAAGCCATGTAGAGACTGGTAAGAAGGGCAGAGACTCAGAAAAGGCTAGCCCCCACACTCAGATGTGCTGGTGGCTGTAAAACTCCCTCTCCTAGGAGCGTGGTGACAGGGATCCCCACCAAGAGCAACATCAGGAAGAGGAGCCCCACAGCATCTGGTGGTGAAAATGGGTGGGAATGCAGTCCGTCCGGGAGAGCCAGACACCACCTTCCCGGGGAAGAGCACTCCTATTGTTACAGCACCAGCCTGGGGAGTGCAGGGTCCAGACTCCAATTTCTGCCTCCAACTGTGGGCAAGGCCACACTGCTGTATTTAGTCCTAGAGGGTCGCTGGGTACACCTAGCAGTGACTTTAAGGGGCCCTCTTTTTTCTGGGGGGAGGAGAGGAAGGGAGGCTCAAAGCTGGGACACTCAAAGTGTTTGACTCTTGAAGGCTATTGTCTGGGACTTGGATGAAGTGCTTAGCTACCTCCTATGGGCTGGATGGGCTTGGTGAAGTTAGGCAAGGTGGGGGCGGGGGCTGGGGAATGGGGCCACCTATAATAGTGTCAACAGTAAAAATAAAGTTTAAAAAATATCTTGCCCTTTGACATTGATTACAGTGTTGTATTTTATCTTATTTTTCATTTAGAGAACTCTTTTACAAACAAACCAATGATTTATTCATTATTTTTATGCATTCTTTCTCTATTTTACAAATATGAAGAGAAGGAAGAAAATGAAGAAAGATCCTAGAAACAATTACCACTGAGAAGAGAGACACTGAGAGAACAGGAGGCAAGGACTAAGCTCCCACTTCTACTTTTAAAGATAATATCATCGTTAAGAATACAGTTTAGAGCCAGACTGACATGATTTAAATTCCAGCTCCACTACTAGCTGTCATCTTGGTCAAGTTATTTAAAATACTGGCCTATAATCTATCTGAAACCAGCAGAACCAAATGTGTTATTAACCTGTTAAATAACAGTAAACTTTCAGTTTAGGTTTAGAAAAATCAGGGAATCTGTGGGGTTGCTATTTTCAGTTACCCAGAAACCATGAGGCTCCTTAACAACACAGCCTGTAGGCCGCCACCTATGTCTATGGCTATTGCTGCCCTGGGAAATAAATGTTTAAGGAAGACACATTACCAATTTTAGAACGCTAAGTGCATTATTGTCACAGTGCCAAATTGTGCCAATCTTAAAAAGTAAATTAGTAAAGCTGGATAATCCATTACAAAATGATACTACTTAATTAACTGTAAAACTTCACAGCACTTAGCAATGGTTGTATAATTAAACAGGTAACATGAGACCCTTCTTAAAGCACCTGCTGAGCATCAGGGACAGCCGATTTAGTCTCTAAAAGACTTACTAAGCTTGTGGATTAAAAAAAAGTCTGCCCCAGATAGGTAATTATGAAGACTCAAATGAAGAAGAAATTGTTAATACTGCTACTGTTTTCCTTTCATACCATCTTGATCGGCCACTGAATAATCACTATTACTTCCAAAATATTGAGCTTTTAAAAATGGCTTAGGATAATCTTCAGAACTAACAAACTACATTTAAGTTATATGGAAAGAGTAAAATCAAACAGCAAAGTTTTATAAAATACTATAAAAAGTGAAAATCAAGCTAGTTCATGGAAAAATAATGTCTATACGAGACCAAATCAGTGCAACAAAATAAAACATTAGATAAAGAGCCCTGCTACCTACCCAATCTGTCAAACCCATCTCTTCTCTTCCACCCCAATTCTGTTGAAATAATAGTAACTGGTTTCCTAACACTTGTCCTTCTCCCATTTCAGTAAACTTCTAGAACACCATGGAGTTATGTTCCTAAAGTAATACTTTAAGTACTTTCTTCGGTCAGGATAATGGGATAAGTCATGTAGAAATTTCCTGCTCCCTCATCCCAACTATAAATAGATGACACAGAGAGATAAAATTAGTTTTTACAATAATTTCAAAAGACCTAACCATTTTTTAAAATGACAAACATAAAAATGTTACGTGTGAAAAACATAACAGGGCGTAATGGCTGAGGTCAAGAGCCCCATGTGCTCTAGGATCAGACACCAGCTATGTTAGCTGGAAATTAAATTCTGTATGGAAATAAGGAGAGAGAACACACCCATAAAAACATGGAATTGAAACCAGTCTTTCCAACTTAAATGGTTGGCTGTGATATCCTCCCTCCAACCCAGCCCCCCAAAATGCTTAAAAAGACTGTGTGTGGCTGTTTGCAAGGGTCACAGAAAGAGCACACACAACTCCAAAACAAAAACAAGGCTAAGCCAAATCAGCTAGGAAAAGGGTCCCTAAAATCGTGGCAGGATGAAAGGCAGTAACTACTAATTATAACACCTCATTCTGAACTGGGGCTGGGAAGGGGGGTAGTATCTGCCAAAGTATGAGGAGGGAGAGAAAGGGAAAGAGGGAAAAAAATCTAAACAACAAAAATGACAAATGTGCATTCAAGGTGATTTTGCAAATTAAAATTTCAAAGCATCTAAAACAGCAGGGAATGAGAATATTCTCTCAGGAAAGTAGAAATGATAAAAGAATATGAAAAGGACTTTGACGTTACTATGTATACCATGCTTTTAAAAGAGTAACGAAAAAAAATCCATTCTATAATAACCCAGAAGATAAAGAAATCAAAACTAATAGCTATAAATTAAGTTTAGAAGAGAATAGAAAAATGAATAAATTCTGAATTCTAAAAATAATATCAGCTAGAAGACAGATGTCAAAAAACCCCAAAACAGAACTGGAGGAGCTCCATGAACCCAAGAAAACCACACAGGGAAACACCTAGCCAATGGTCCCACAGCAGTGGTGTAACTGGGGCCACCGCCGATAACTGGAGATTCTTCCCAAGTGGAGTTCCTGTGCAAAGAAAACCGACCTTTAACGTTAAGGGAAGAGACACATAGAGACTCTCTACACCCAGGTCCCCAGTGGCCATCTAGCAGCCAAGTCCAGGGAGGGCACTGATGACTAAGCTCCACAATGTAAAGGTGTGTGATGGGGACACAGATGCAGTGAGGGGCAACTGCTGGCAGCTGGCAAACAGACTTAAGACTGCCTTTGGCCAGAAATGGAAAGGTGCCGAAGACTCTGACATAAAACAACTCTCCCTACAAGCCCCAGAAAGCATGCAAGGGTGACGGGTGGCTGCTAGCAACGTAAGAGAATACCCGTCTCGACAGAAGATGGTATTTAGATTACTCTCACCAGAGACACACTCAAAAAAAGTTTATCATTCTGATAGCCCATGGGACTGGAGCCACTCAGCAACACGTCTTCCGAATTCTCCCATGCCTCAATGCCAACATACCCACATGAAGGTGCATCAAAAGTTTTGGTATCTCCCATAGATTACCAACAGCCCTTATGAAATTCTACCTCAAGAAAAGATTTTTAAAAAAATCAATAGGCAAGCATGGATCTGGCAACACATCTCGATACACATCAGAGGAAAAAACTCCCAACTGCAGAACTGGCTCATGAGACAGTCCCATCAACACACGGAACCATACCTGGTAAAGGCCTATGTCAGCACTTTTCATGCTTCAATGCGCACCTGGAGACCTTGTTCAAATTCAGACTCTGATTCAGTGTGTCTGGAATGAGGACTGATTCTTCGTTTCTAACAATTAGCTCCCAAGTGATGCCAACGCTGTTGGTCTCCAGACCAGCCTATGGCAGTTAGAACTTCTAGCACACAATTCCACAGACATCAAGCAAGGACCTCCTGTCACAGGCTTCCCGAGCTACCAGTGTAGGCAATAAAGTCCCATGAAGCCCCAGGAACCTACGGGAATTTAGACAATACCCTGACCATCCCAAGTCAGCCACCATGACCAGTCTTAGGTGGCATTTGGGTGTGTCGAAACCAAGTGAGTTCTGAAAAACAGGATCCATGTCAGATCATGGCCATTCTCCAGGCATTGCAGCTGGCCACTAAGGCTGGCCTGACTCCTTCCTGAGGCAGAGAGAACTCTTAAGGCATTAAGTGAGCACAAGTTCCCATCCAAGACTCTACTAAAACGATAATAATTAAAAACTCAGCACTGCAAAGAGAATAAGAGGGGAACCAGTCGTAGAAAAGAGATTCCCACAAATTAAGAAAAGAGAGAAGAGCAGAACCCAGAAGCCAACTGTCCAGTAGAACAGGAAGCTTCAGGCTTAGTCAGCGGACACACAAGAATAACAAAAGAGCTCTTCTTAACGGAAATGAATAAGGACAATCTTCCATAAGCCAATTACAATTTAATTTCGTGCTAAGAAAGGGGGGACAAAGGAGGAGGAGGAGGGGGAGGGGGAGGGGGGGGCGGAGGAAGGGATGGAGGGAGATAAACTGAATTTCCCAGGCAGTGTGCATGGGTGCAGAGGACGCCTCAGCCCCAAATGGACTGTGATCCCCCCAGACTCCAGGAACAGGACCAGGACCAGGATCTTCATAACTTAACATTGAAGTGGAGCCTGACAGCCACAAACACCAAGTTCCCAGTTAGACTTGCCATTCAGGGGAAAAGACAGCGAAAGAATGAGAGGCTTGGAAAAAAAGAACCTGATAAGCAAAATGAAACTGGCCTCCTAAGAAAAAAGATTATTTAAGGAACAAATAATTAAAAGACAAAAAGATATAATCTTCAGAAAGATTCAAGATTTTGTATCCATAAAACAAGAATAAGTTACTAAGAAGCAACACAACTTTAAAATGCTCTTAGAAATTAAACATAGCACTTTCAGAATAAGAAAAAAATTCAGTAGATGGGGTAAAAGAATCAGAGAGATCGCCAAAAACTTACAGAAAAAAGGAAGATGAAAAACTTGGGGGAAAAAAAAACAAAAACAAAAGAAAAATAAGAGGTCCTAATCAACAATAGGGAGCTTTCATTAAAAAAAAAAGTCTTCAGATTCAGGTCTCACACCAACAGCTCAGCATATTAAGCAAATGTATAATAAAAGACACACACCTACACATATCCTCATAAAATTTAAGAAGAAAGATAAAGGAAAGAGCCTAAAATTTTCAGGTAGAAAAACACATTGACTCGCCCTAGAAAGAAAGAATTGTAATATATTAATCTTCCCATCAGCAACAATGGATGGTCAAAGATATTCAATGTCCTCAAAGCTCTAAAGAAAAATTATTTAATCTAGAATTTTATGTCCATCAGAGTATCAACAAGAGAAAGTGAAAAATAAAGTCACTTAGACATGAAAGTTTACCTCTGCAAAAGATATTTAAAAATGTATATCAGATAAACAACAATGAATTCCAAAAAAGAGGAAGGCATGGGACACCAGAAATAGTTGAAATAGCGAGTACTCCTATGAAAAGAAAGCCCAGGATGAGAATGCCTGAAACAATCAATCCAAATATGAAATAAGTGAGTCTGGGAACAATGAGCGCAAAAAGAATGGAATGAAATGGGTTACCAGTAATAGCTAGAAAACTGAAAGATTTTATTGCTGACATAATAAAGTAAGTTTCTTCACTAAAAAAAGAAAAGAAAGAAAAATTTGGGAAAGTCCAGAAAAATAAAAAATAAGATAGTCCATATAAGAGGCAAAGAAAAACATGACAAATTTCATGTAATTGATGGGGAAAGAAACAAAGAGATGCCATTTAATTGGGACAATGGGAATATTCTCTATGCATGGCATAGAGAGATATAAAACTAGATCCCTACAGAGGGAATGTAATGAAGATTATTTATATAGTGCTGTATACCCCATATATAGTTTCAACTTTTATAATCAATCTTCAAACAAACTATGGAAGACTTAAGAAATCTCTATTATAAAAGTCCTGTGGCCCTAACACCAAAGACCAGCACGGGTGGGCAGGGCTGCAAGCGTGGCAAGGTGCGAGGGTAGGCGGGGCTGTGCGATTCTGCGTGCTGGGCTTCTAGTGGTTATATAAGAAAATTGGTTATTAAACTTGGTAACATAAAAGTAGAGTTGACATGACGGAGAGGAAAGGGCAAGCAGAAATAAGAGTGGGGTGTTAATAACCACATCCAATATAATAGGAACTCAAGAAACACTGTGTGAGGGTGATAGATCAAGAAAAGGAAGTTGGAGCTCTAACTGGTTTGGCTAAGTGGATAGAGTGTCGGCCTGCGGACTGAAAGGTCCCAGGTTTGATTCCAGTTAAGGGCATGTACCTTGGCTGTGGGCACATCCCCAGTAGGGGGTGTGCAGGAGGCAGCTGATCGATGTTTCTCTCTCATCGATGTTTCTAACTCTTTATCCCTCTCCCTTCCTCTCTGTAAAAAATTAATATATTTTTTAAAAAAAGAAAAAAAAGAAAAGGAAGTTGGAGTATATATTTAGAACAAGAAAGGGAAAAAAAAGTAAGAGTTAAAAGTCTTTTTCTTTCATAGTGGAAAGTAAATAGATGACATCCTAAATTTAAAAAATTTAAAAATTAATGTAAGTACAATAGTTAAAGGCTCTTGCCCCCTCAAACCTGCAATTGGGAAATAATGTAACAGTTTCCTTGGCAATGAGACTTTTAAAGACCATTTCTGTGTGTACCTGAGCTTCCTCCGAGTGGTACTGAAAAGGCTCCATGTTGCCCATGACAGCAGTCCCCAGAACAGACAGGAGAGCCATCTTATGATCGGATGCTCTCGTTTTCTGCCAAACCACTGCCTGGGGAGAAAAGACACAGATAACTTTTCACTGTTTAGATTGACTACATTCACTGCACCACTGATTTCTATATTTAGCCTCCGTTTATATCTTCAGGATCGTTTAGAAGAGATGCATGGAAAGAACAGATGCATGAAAAGGCTGACAGAGCTCTGGTTCTGAATTTTAGTAGCTGGGTACGTTGCAGCGTAAAACTGATTTCACTTCCCTTAACCTCGGTTTCCTCCTCTCTACATGATAACTAAGAATATTTACCTCTCAGAGTTGCTGGGAAATGAAAATATATAATGGAGGCAGACACATAAGGCAGTGCCTGGCATAACACAGTTTCATTATGTATTAATTTTCTCCCTCTTCTAAACTTCAGAGTATATACTTCAGCATATATTTAAATTAAATTGTTCCTCTAAATAAAGTATTATTTGATTAAGGATAGACTATTCTATAAGGTTTCTGTAAATAGTTGAACTGGAATAATAATTTGGAATAATGCATACTTTTAAAAATTACCTTCATACTTACCTATTATATACAGAGAAATTACAAAAAGCTACCTGAATCTCATAAACTCAAAAGCTGAATAATGAGCTTGCATTTTTCCACTGCAAATATGTAGCTGGGTGGTTTAAGAGAAACATGGACCACAATCAGGTGTGCAATATTGCAATTTCTTCAGTTAACATATGGCCCAATTATAGTCAAATCTCTTGAGAAACCGTCAACACAAGTACATTCGTTCATTCAACAAATATTCACTTAGCCCCTCCTCAATCCCGAGGAAAATGTGTAAAGCATCACCTCAACGTGCAAGGGACAGGCAGAGGAAGGAGAGGAGCCTGCAAAGGTGTAGTCAGGGAGACAGGAAGAGCCGCAGAACAGGACGGTGAACAGAACAAAGACGTTTCTAAGAAAGAAGACGTAGTCCTATGTGACTAGTGTCAAGAGATCAAGTTAAGAACAGAGATGTGGCGATCAGGAGGGACAGACTAAGGAATCTGGGATGGACTAGATGTGACACGGTGGCTGAGAGCCTGAGAAGGTGAAGCACAGAAGAACCAGGATGTGACTGGGTCCCTGGTACCAAGAACACTGTCGGGGCCCAATAAACACCAATTTGTTGAAGGAGTGAGGAAATGGGTACATTTTTTCCTACAGAAAAGTAACTCTAGTGAAGTTGAAAACTAGCTCTTTGTTTTGAAAGATTAAGACTGCTGGTTGCCATACCACATACACATTAGGAATCATGTCTTAGTAACTAAGTAGTAATTTTGCTTTAGGAAATCCAAAGCAACCTTTGATTTTCTTTCTTTTTTTAAAAAATGTAACAGTTTTGAGATATAACTCACACCATTACAATTCATTCATTTTATGTATACAATTCAATGGTTTTTACATTTACAGAGCTGTGCAATTATCAACATAATCTAATTTTAGAACAATTTTATCACTTCAAAAAGAAACCCTGTACCCATTATCAGTCACCCCCATTTCTTCCTACTAAGTAATCACTAAATTACCTTCTGTCTCTATAAATTTGCATTCTTTGGGTATTTCATGTAAATGCAATCATACAATACACAGCATTTGTGAGTGGCTTCTTTCACTTAGCACAGTGTTTTCCAGGTTCACCCATGTTGTTTACCCATCAGTACTTCATTCCTTTCACTGGCTCCCTATGGCTCCACTGCATGGACATACATTAGAATGACCTTTCATCAGATGACGGCGTTTGTGTTGTTTCCACTTGTTAGCTATTATGAATGATGCTGCTAGGAGAACTCATGTACAAGTTTCTGTGTGCCGTGCTTTCATTTCCCCTGGGTACATACCAAGGAGTGGAACTGCTAGGTAAGGCAGTAACTTTATTTTTGGAGGAACTGCCAGACTGAAATCTGCACTGCCTGTGTGTTTGTAAATAGACAAAGAAGTGCTGCTTCTGCTATCAAGGCTGTTATTTTAAGCTAGCCAGGAGCTTGTGCTTTAAGGGACAATATTCAAAATAACAGCAAGTAGGTCAAGTTCTGAATAATCTGCAACTGTATTGGAGTGAAATGACCCCCTGCCCCTGCTCCATACTTTCCATATCACAAGATACTTTTAACAAAAAATTGTCAATAAAAACTTATTCACAAAATAATTTATCTCTTCAAAGCTATGCTAGCTGATACTGACATACACCTATAGAAAATATGCTAAAAATAAAGTAGTGAAAGTATTTCAAGAAAACTTATGGTTCAAAATTCCTGCTTTAAAGCCTGTGATACTTGTAATGTAAACATCACATTATTTAGTTTGTATTAGAGTGATGCCTCAGGTGAGACCTAAGATATAAATCTTTGTTGATTAATATATAAAGATGCTATTTCACTGCCTGATCTGCTGAATAGCTACACAGAATTATAAAAAGGTTACTTGAGGAAATGGGTTCTAAAAAAGCTATGAAACATGAAAATCATTAAATGTGAAAAAAAATGTTTAAGTAAACACTGCTAGTAGTTCTGGAGTATTATTTCACAGCAGGCAACTATTGCACCAAAGGGGCTAATTTAGAAGCATTTTCTAAACTAGCCTTACAGTTGGGCTAGCAATAAATGATAAAGAGGTCTCCCAACAAATTCAATCTTCACTATTAGGCAAAATCCATTATTAAAGAAATAGACAAAAAAATGATAATTAAAAATGAAGAATCTAGAAGAAACTAAATTTTTAAATACTACATTTTCTATAGTAAATAGTTTTTAGTTTGCTTTCCTTACCATTTAATTAATCCTATATTATTCTCTAAAACAGATATTCTTCTCACTTCCTGAAGTTTTCATATATTTTGCCCTTAGGCCGAAAGCTTAACCTGTGCTAAAAATAAACACACATGCCCCCATATGTTTCCTATTTAGGTCACACAAAGTTGGAGCATCTAGATGTGCCAACTAAGAATCTGACTCTAGTCAGTATGATGACAGTGCAAAAAACACCTCAATCAAAAATATATTATTACATGCACACCATGTAGTTGATTGAAGATATATAAATATATCTTGCCACTGTTCCTACTTAATTACATGTACTATTTGAAGGAAATAAAATTATATGAGAATACTCAATATTTAATTAGTATACCTCAAATGTGAAGGCAATTTGTGATAATGGGGAAAAGGATGCTGCACATAGATGATGCACACTCCTATATAATAAAGAGGTAATATGCAAATCAACCCTCACGCCCTCACAAGATGGCTGCCTCTATCCAGGCGGGAGGGGGGCTAGTGAGGGACAACCAAACGACTGAACAAGCAGGCTGTGTGGGGCGACCAGGCCGGCGGGGGAACTGTGAGGGGCAACCAGGCTGGTGGGAGGTGGGGGCAGTTAGGGGCGACCAGGACAGCAGCAGGGGGCAGTTTGGGGTGACCAGGCCAGCAGGTAGGTGAGCGATTAGGAGCCAGAGGCCCTAGGATTGGGCCTAAACCAGCAGTTGGACATCCCCCAAGGGGTCCCGGATTGGAGAGGGTGCGGGCTGGGCTGAGGGGACCCCCCCCCCCCAATGCATGAATTTCGTGCACTGGGCCTCTAGTTAACTAATAAAGGCAATGCCAATAAGACTGTCTGAGCAAAGGAGACTCCTTCATTAATATGAAAAAAAAAGTATACATATTGGCCTAATTATGTGCCAATTATATGCATAGATGGTCTATGACGTTTTAACTACTTCCAAGGTCTTATACTAGTAAGTTGATATAAGTGATCAGTATATCTGCTCCTGCATATGTACTTGTACTGACTCTGGTTCAGAAAAGGGCAGGGGCACAAAATATTATAGGGAAGATCAGCTTCTTCCACCCTGGCAATCTGACAATGATTTTAGCTACAGAAGCTTATCACTAAGACAGTGTTAAACGTTTTGATTCAGTATAAAATTATGATTATCCCATCACAAAATCAATACTAGTGTTAAGGAATATCACATTCTATTAACATAATAAGTTATGATTTGATTCTTCTAAGTAGCCTGAGACTTTTTTAAAAGAATTCTATCTTGATAAAACATATTCAGCATGACTCTGAACTTAAAATCTCTTACTCATACTTTTATTCTGCTTAAATGTTTTTTATTTTATATTCAGTTTTTTAATAGAGTATGCATAATTACTTCTCCTGAAAGTTACAAAGAAATGGGTAACTTTACCTTTTTTCTTTTCTTTTCTTTTTTTGTTTTGGGGGGGGGGGGGTTGCTTATAAGAGCCAGGCAGACAAGAGATAAAGATGAGAGTAATTTTTTTACTTTACTTTTTCATATTTTTTGGCTTTTGCACCATGTAAAGGTATGACTCATTTTAAAAAAGTAAATAAAAATTTAAAAACATAGTCAATATTTGCATAACTTTCAAAGGGAGATGGTAGATACTCATTGTTTGTGATCTTTAAAACAAGAAAGAGTATTTCCAATTGCTCATCAACTCTTGTCACATCTACATGAGAGATGTTCTTGTCTAGACCCTCTTCCCTGTGCTCTGCGCAACTACCCAGCACACTGACCCAGCCTCCTCAATCACACTACTAAACGCCATCTGACCCTCCTCCAACTGCCATGAGAATTACCTCATTTTGTTAGAAACTCCTTATTGTATTGCCTTTTAGCCATTTGCAAGAAATCCAAATTCCCATGTAAGGCAGACAAGGGCCTTTAGAATGTTGACCCAGGCAACTTTCCTAGCCTTCCCTCCCACTTCCCCACCCCATTTTGAGCTTTTTCTGACCTCTGATGACTTATCAACCTTACATGTCCTTTAAATGCCTTTGCCTCATCTTTCTCAAGAGCCCATTCGAAGGCTTTTCTGAACCTGACCAGAGTCTATAACTGCCTCCGGATTACCGTACTTCTTACTATTGTTTATAGGAGGTCTTGAGATCGGCCTTTCTAAACAACTCTTTAAACCTGGAACCCCGAGCCAATCAGCACTCCCTCCCACATTTAATTTTATGGAAAAGGTTATTTGCAAATCAAG